CGTGGCCTACCGCCACTAATTTCACCCTCGATACCGATACCCGTCGTCGGACAGTGCGCTCGCTGATAACGATTGCCATAAATATTGGTAGTCGCGGGCACCTTGCCGAGCTAATAACCACGTATCGTTCGGATGCCGTTGCTCCTCGGTCCTTGCGCGCTCTCTCCGACGTAATATCAATATTCATACGGCTACACGCGACCTTTGTGGAGAGGCGAAAATATTAGCATGGCTGTGGCGCGGCGAAACTTCATGAATAGCTTTTTAATATCGTTACCGCGCGTAATCGATTTATGGGCAGCCGCGCTTCCGAAAGCCGCCGCCGTCGCCGCCTGCGCCGCGTCGGCGACTTCGCTGGCGACTTACACCTCTTCTCTCGGACCCACCAGGATCGGAAGTGGTGCGCGGCCTAATTCACGAGAGGAGCTACGTGTTTTTATGCTGAACGCGCCAAGCTTCTCCCAGCAAGCGAGGCTCGTCTCGTGAATTTTAACTAGAGCTTGCGCGACAGATACGAATGGCGTAGACGAGCTAAGTTTTATCCGACTGACGGGTAACAATGACGAATGAATCTGTATCCGTTCCAGTCTCGGGGAGACATCTTTGTTCGCGTAAAGTTCTATCGGAATAACTGTCGCTCTTGATTGGCAATAATCCTTCTTGGCAGAAGTTCTCGTGAGATAACGTTACTCTTTGCTAGCAATAATCTATCCTGGAGTAATTTCCCATGCGGACGACGTTAGCGGCGAGAGGATCTATCTTTCTTCCCCCCCCCCCTCTCTCTCTCTTTCTCTCTTTGTCGCTCTCTCTGTCTCTCGTGTGATGTCTCGCTTCGAGCGAAATAGCTTCGAACAAAAGACTCAAGTACAATTCGTTAATGCCGTTGCGTGTGAAGTTTTATTTCTACCTCGCGGAGATAAGTATCTTACGTTTCCGCGCAGCACAGGTGTTAAAATATTTATTCACGCGATCCCGTTTAACTATGAAACCAGACCGCGGAGAATCAGTTATGACGGGGCGCACAAATATATTTCCCTTTCAAGTATAGAACTTACTTTATCTATCTACGTGCTGGACGATATCGAGGAGTGAGTCACGTTTATACGTTTACACCAATTCGTGTAACTATATTTGCAATTAATTTCGGAATTTCTGAAGATATTCGTATATCTCGAAAGATATGATTAAAGTTCAACTACACTTGTGACTCAAAAACACTAAAGTTATCACTCGCCTAACAGTTGTCACAATCAAATTTTTAATATTATTTTTTGTCCATATATATACAAAAAAAAATACCTGAAATTTTATTTGTGAGTCATAAAGTTTATTTCTGTGAAGTAAAGTTTATTTCTGTGTGTGACATAAAGTTCTCTGAAATAAACTTTTATCCTACACAAATAAATTTTCAAAGATTTTTCTCTCGTACAAGATGATTGTGGTAACCATAATACTCTGAAAATGGGTGGTAAACTGGTCTTCTTTGCTGCTTGTTCGAGCGGTACTGTCAGTGAGTTATGGCGTAATCAAACCCCACGGATCTCTCAACCATTAATATTTGTTCTGCAAACTGCAACAGAAAGTCAGCGATATTCCTTTGGTTAAGGTAACTATACAAGATGCCCAACACCCTCTGACGTGGTTTTTTAAAAGATGGTAGGGGAATTTTTAATTCGGTTTGACCTAATCTGCCTGCACACGTTCTTTTAGCAATCTCCTGTGAGACACTCTGTATACATGAGAATGTACTAATTGAACATGACGTATTATAAGAACTGTGGCTGTGTGGAAATTGTATAGAGAATAGTATACATGAGATGGGCCTACAACTTTTGATGCCATATTTATTTAAAATAATTGAAACCATATAAATTTTCCCTCCAACCATAGGACAGTTTACGGATGCGGCAATCACAGCAGTTTTTTCCGTGTAAAACAATTGTATTCATAATTAATTCAGTTATTTTACATTAATTCGATATAATTTATGATTTACCTGCCACATATCCCTCTTCATTAATATCCCAAAATAGAGGACTTATAATTATTATTACGCACTTGTACACCGTTATGAGCGATACAGTTCGTCCATATTTACTACGCACGCTGCCGAACGACGCGCGGACTTCTTTCCTCCACGGAGATCCCGGCACTTCGAACACTCCTTTCTCGGCCGACGATCGATATCGACCGCTGTTCCAATAAGAATTATCGTCACTCGAGTAACCATCATTACGTGAGTGCTCTCGCAAACGGGTCTCGGTGAGAGCGACGAATGCATCGAATGCAGCACTTATCGGGCGACGTTGAACAATCGTCAAGAGCCTCGCGCGAAAGAATCCCATAAAGAGGCCCGGAACGCATCGCCTGAGGGCCGATGTTCCGTGGAAATGCGTTTTTTTTAGAGAGCCATCTGCGAGCCTTTATTAGAATCGGCCAAGAGCTACGGTTTATGTACTCTTTCTCTTTCCTTCTCTCTCTCTCTCCTTTACTAGCACAGTCGATACTCACCGTGAAGGTTACGAAGGCGAGAGCGTGAATTCTCCTCGAGTCACGTCGACTGTAAAACGCATCGCGCAAAATGGTTATCACGGCTGCACATTAAGTCAGTTTATTCGGCGTTGCTGATAAAACACACTTGCGTGTTACCGGATTGCGTGAAAACCGAACTTAATCAGCTGCTTCGTGCTTCCCTCGTAATGTTTTTCCTCTTTTCTCCATGTTTTTTTTTATTTTTATTTCCTTTATGTACGCATCCAATGGCTCTCTCGTGAATTAGATTAAACGTTTTATCCTTTCGATCTTACTCTATCCTTATTAAAGTCCCGAGGGACGAAATTTTTCCCCCTACCATTGACCTCGATTGTTCAACATTCAAAATTCAACCGCTTTGATGCATGGAACGGTTGAGTTAGCCTCTTTGGAGTCTGCTTAAGCTTCCATATACTTAAGGCTTTTACTTGGCTCTGAATTTTATATTCTTTAACCATGGAAACTATTCCCCTTATTGAGCTCTTAAACAAGAAATTGTTCGTTTACTGCTTACTCGAGATGCAAAATAAGAGCCCGCTCCTGCATTCTCGTTCAAGCAAAACCCGTCGTACTCCTGTGGAATCTGCAAACTATAGCGAGTCAGAGTTGAATGCAAGAATAAAATCTCGTCTCCGGGCCAATTGCTAGTAATATCTCGCTATTATATAAAAGAAAGATATAAGAACTCTTCGCAATACGTATAGATTCTCGGAAGGTATCGATCGATCGGCAAAAGTGTCTTGATTTACTTTTATTCCTCGCGCGAACTCGATTCGTCCTGCGAAGTTTCTCAATTCGACATCTTATCACGAAGATTTTTCGAATTTTCGACGCAGGACGATTTCAAAATTTTTCCGGGAAGACGAGCGGGCTTCAATCTTGCCTAAGAACCTGTCATCGAGATTAACCTCGGCGACCTTAGAACATTCCGCATCAGGCAGTGTCGGCGTGTCACCAAATATTCGCGAGGAAAAATTCAATTTCTCTCTGAAGGATTTTGGGGGAGAACACGGTGTGTCGTCACTCGTCGATATTACGATACAGCGCGTACTGAGAATATTAAAGTTTTATAGCGCGACTACTAATATATTTTTTCCCCGCAATTTTATGCGATCGTAAATATTGTCCCAGCCGCCAAGTTGAGTCCGCAAAACGGCGGTATTTCAACGTGAGCCATATTTTACACAAATCGAGAAATGAGATCGCGGTTGGCGAGCGTGTAAAGATGCTCGCGGTTATTCATTAAATTCGATTATTCGTCGGATCTTCATCGGGGTAATTTCGCAGTTCGCGATGAGCGCCACGAATTTCCGCGAATTTTCGCGGGATATTACAGGAGACCGCACTTGACGAATATTTGAGCGGATTTATTCACGTCCGAAAATAGCGCGTCGACTCTCGACGTGTTGGCGTTATTTACTTTCCAGTAGTACCAAGTTAAATACGTTCCACATTCGCGCGATTGTCTCGCGCATGCGGAGAATTTTATAGAAATTACGCGTTTGCTCTCGTGAGCCGCAGAAGCGTGGAGTAATTAATGGCTGCGTTAATTTGACACAGGTTAAAAATTTATTGTTTTCTATTCCTCGCGCTTCCATTAAAATGCAATCATGACAATATTTTCGAACATTAAAATGAATAACAGCAGTTGTACACACATATGCACACACGCACACACACATACACACACACATTTTGTCACATTTGAATTGCAAAACGAATCACTAGACGTAGTCCACGCGATTTTTCGAAAAAGTGATAAAAAAGAAAATCTAACATCGCGATCCCGAACAACTCAAACATAAAACAACTCTCCTCGACAATCAGGTGTTACTCGCAGGTGCAGTCGTTATAAATTCCAGCTGTATTCGTCATACCTGCGTCGCGTCTTGCGACTCTCGAGCTTTTCGGCGGTGAGCAGTCACGATCGAAGACAAAACGGTCGACCATTACGCCGCGGATCAAGATAGCGCGAGTCGAGCCGCGGTACGCGAAGACCCCACGGCGAATTTGAAACGAAAAAGCTCTCGGGAGAAATCGCCGTGAAAAGGCGCGCGCGATCAAATCGTCTCGGGAAAGTCGACGAACGTCACGCGACGCAACAGGAAGCTCGCCGCGAAACGCACTTTTCCGTCACGGGAAAATGCACCCAAGATTGCATTGCCGGCCACCCTCTCCCTCCCCCCCCCCCCCCCCCCCCCCCCCCCCCCCCCCCCCCCCCCCCCCCCCCCCCCCCCCCCCCCCCCCCCCCCCCCCCCCCCCCCCCCCCCCCCCCCC